GGAGGAGCCTGTAATTTCTCCTTTTCTGTAACACACAAATTAGCATTTTGGCCCCACTGGGTAAGTGGGCCCTTGTTGCTACAGCAACCAAATGGGAAACTGGCTCAATCCCTAACACCAAAGAGAAGCCAAAGTCTTCCAGCTTCAGTCAGGGTCCCATGGCCGCATGTGTCCACGTATGCCCAGTGGCCACCTGTGATGCCAGTCCAGAATGACATTGTCTAGCCGGGAAGCTACCCAGCCAGGGGAGCACAACAGAGTCAGCTGGGAGCTTTTTAAAAAGTCTGCTGGTGAAGGTGCACATCTATACTCCCAGCTCTCTGAAAAGCTGAGGCAGGAAGATCACAAGTTTAAGCCCAGCCTGGGCAACTTAGTGACTCAGTGAGAACTTATCTCAAAGTAAAAAATAAAATAAAAAGGGCTGGGGGTGTAGCTCAGTGCAAAGGCCCTGGTTCAACTCCCAGTACTTAACACTCAAGTCTGCTGTTTGGGTCCTTTCCCATCCCCACAAATTCTGATTTAACTGCTCTAGGCTGCAGCTCCATTTCCACAACCCTTCAGGTAACTGTAAAGTGCAGCAAGGATGGAAATCTCTGCTCCTGCCTTGCCTGCCACTCCGGTGGGTTTGTGGTGCTGTCCAAGGTAGCAGCTCATCCAGACCTTCACTGGGCAGCCAAGCCTGCCATGTGCAAGGGCCGGTGTTTGTTTGTAGGGCCACAAACAGTGGAAGGACACAAATCACACAGTTCACTGGACTGGAGAAACTACACCATCTTGTTCATTCTACAACTGCTCTGTCCAACATCCACCCAAGGCTAGCACAATTTGAAGTAATCAAACCTAAAAATTCAGTCCATAAGGAGCCAGAGAGTAGATGATGTCAGCTCTAAGGGCCAGGTGGTCTCTGGCCCCCTTACTCGGCTCTTGGTGATGGCGTAGAGCAGTCACATGTAATAAGTAAACAGGATGTGGCCAAAATGTGGATTTGCCAACCCCTGCCCTAGACAATCACATGCCCCAAGACTGAGAAAAGTGCATGATATAATTTCTGCACAGTGATTTAGGGGGAAAAGAAGATAAATATGCAACAAGCAGGTCAACCTGGAGCCAGATGAAGCTGAAGTGAGCCTTGAGGTTTAACATCAGAGTCAGGGTAAGTCTGCCTGGCTAAACACTCTGTAGAAGGAATGTAAAATATTCATAAACTAAAAGCCGGATGGAGTCCAATCCTTCTGCGATGTGTGCAGTCATGCCAAGACTTTATGAAATAAATTGTGTGACTTCCAAAGGCTTTTTCTAGCTCTCAGATGCTCAGTAGGGGAGCAGTTACCATGCAGAACAATCATCTTTAACTTCCCATGTGAAAAAATGAGTTAAAGCCTGTATTATGAATAAGAAGGAAGTAACAATGAGAAAAAAGTTAAACTGAGCCCAAGACTATTGTAGGACTCAAAAATACTGACCAAGAGTTCATAAAGAGCAACTTTTCTGTCCTTTTTTTTTTTTTTTCCTTGAGACAGGATCTTTCTATGTAGCTCAGGCTGGACAAGAACTCACGGCAATCCTCCTGCTTCAGGCTTGAGTGCTGGGATTACCTGCATGTGTCATCATGGTCAGCTCAAGAGTGACATTTTTTAACAACTGTGCTTATGGTTCTTTTTGTTTTGTTTCGTTGGTCTTGGGGATTGAACTCAGGACCTTGCACTTGCAAGGCAAGCATGCCACTGAGCTAAATCCCCAGCCCCGTGCTTGTGGTTCTTAAGTGGACACCATTCTGGGTCAGTGGCCTCATCATAACAGATCCTGCGTGTCCCTATTTGGTCATAACTGTATCATTTCTGCAAGTCAGTTCATGGAAAATTTCTGTCTTTACCTTTTACATGCAACCAAAATTTCAGTGTGAAGTTCCAACCTATTCCTTTTCATATAGATCCATTTTATGCCACATATAAGCTAAAATTAAATGGAAAAACCTCAATAAAAATGTCACAGGAGAGATAATCAGCCTTCTCAGGAACAACTGTATCAGTTGCCAAAAATCACAAGGAGATAAATATGGTACTTTTGAACACTGTCTATCATTGATAAGACTTGAAGTTTTTTCAAAATATCACACTTTTGAGGTTGAGGGTACTGTGATGTTAGAATACCCTAAAGGAAGGAGCATTGTATCCTTTCATGTAGTACCCCTCCTACTGCAGCTGGGTGTATTTTAGCTATTATATTTCTATGTAAAGATACTTTAGTTTCAGTGAAACCAGAATTTAGAAATTCTAGGTCATACAGTTCCAGTACCAACTCCAGAACGGTTACATCATCAATTTCTTTTAATTTTATTTACAAATGTTCCTTCTACAGTAATATTTCTATTTGGATGGTTTTACAGGGATACCAACATTTTAAATCAGTATCTTGCTACTCATGAATTAATAGCTGAAAAATAATTTAAAAGACTTTTATTAACTAGCACAGTTTTTAAAAATATAGCAAATATAGCATTCGAGCTGACGCAGTCAGTTTTAATTTATGTTTTAAACTCCCAATTCATGCCATTTCTTTGGCAGCTAAGTCATCATAAACATTAAAAAACCTCCAGAAATCTACTTTGTTAAAAACAAAATGTTTGATGAATAGGAAGGCTATGTCATTTTTGAAGACATTTATGTTTACATTTAGTTATCATTATAACTCATAATTGCTTCAGAGTTAAATAACACCATTTAAACTGTAGGCTCATTTCCTTTACTGCCATAGTTAAGCACAATTACTTGTTAAGCCTTATCTACAGTTGTCTAAAAGTATTTCACGATTTTCCATGCTTCTCAGTGACAGTTCCCCTCACCTCTCTGATGCCGCACAGTGTCCAAAGCGATGGAAGACTTTGTAACCTTGGCCAACATCCGAGTATCTAAAGGATTTTCAGTGTGTCAGACAGCCTCTGGGGTTTTTAGAGAAGGAAAATAAGTGCAACAGCAAACTGTGACCTCTTCCAATCTACCTGGCGGAGGATAAGGGATCACTTGTATTGAGTTTGACCTTTAAAGAAAAACTGAAACCAACTTCCAAAATGAAATTCGTTTTACTTTCTAGATTGCAGTGGGGATAGGGTGGGGGAAGATGTCCAGCTTCAATTTTAAGACATTTCATTTCATATTAAATTCTTACGGCAGTATTGTTATTTGTAAATTAATTAATTAATTAATTCATTCATTCATTTCATTTTGTTGGTGGTGGCCATGGTGCTGATCTTGAGGATCAAACCCAGAGCCACATGAATGCTAGCAAGTAACCTTCCACTGAGCTAGACTCCTAGCTATTAGTTCTAATTTGCCTTATTAAGATATGTCATGGGCCAATTAAAGACAGGAAGTAATTTTGAAAAGGCAAATAATTCAATAAAAAATGGGGACTAGGAGGTACAGCATTATCTCTTGGAGCCCTTGTCACTCTTTGCTACAAACCAGAGTGCAGAAGTTAGGGAGTGGCTAGGAGGGAAGGAAGACACCACGGCAGGCACAGCTAGTCTCTGGGCTCCGGGCCATTCAGGTTTCTTTGGGTGCCAGGCCGCCTTCCCAAGTACAGGAGCCCACAGAGACTGAGCTACAGCAGCAAGCTCTGTTCCAGTCAATGTGCAATGACTCTCCTCTCACCTGCCGGGTGTCATATTACACAGAACAGAGGTGCTGTCAGCTTATTTCTGCACTTGGGCAATACTGTGCAAGGTCTGAGCGTCACAAGCTTGCAAGACCCCATCTGTGTGATGCTATCACGTTGCAAAATTTGATGTGGGATGGCTGAACATGTGACCTGTCCTGTGATCTGCTTTCCTTCAGGTTCTGCCTCCACTACACCTGGGATGTAGTCCTGCAGAATAACAGCAATACCTAAATCCAAGGGCAGCTGTGAGAAACAGTAATATATGAGGGCACTGAGCACAGAGCAGTTGGTCAGCACCACTAACTACCGGCCATTACCGGTCTTAATTCTATGTTTCCCAAGTGGGTCCCAGCCTAGTTTCACAGGCGATGCCCTGGTACATACATACACATATAACATAACACAGCTAATGAACATGTACATATCATGCTGCCTGTGTACAGACCAAGGTGTGCAGTCAGGATTTAAGTCAGGAGGCCGTTTCTTTAGTGCTCATAAGCACAACTGTCCATCGCCCTGTAGCTTTCTGCTATACATGGAGGAACCGAAAATGTCACGAAACACTAATAGCCCTCATTAAGAGAAACCACACAGAAACCACTTCTATTGTACATTCTGTTTCATAAGAAAAATACTGACCCTACCCTGTTAAGTTGATTTCAAGACCCAAGACCTGCAGTCTGATAAGTACTATGGTATTGTATGAAGAAATTTTTGGAAAATACCAACAAAGATAAAAAGATAAATATACCCACTTCACTTCTGAGGCCTTACCATACTATGAAAACTTATGGAGTGTTTCCTAAATTCATTCAAGCCCCCTTCACCTTGTGGTGTGGAGAGTAATTTGGGAAAAGTTACCCTAAAAACATGAATACCTTTAAGGCAAAGACAATATCAGGGTAACCTTAACCCGTATCTTAATTAGTATGGCAGACACATTTGACAAATTTCTAAATGACTGAGGCATAGTCCCTCCTAGGGGAGGAGAACCTCCAGGACCTGAACTGTGCCCTGGAGAGGCATCTGATCTTCCCTGCCGGGTGCCGAGAGTCATCACCCAAGAAACACGACAGGCAGTGTCCTGTGAAACGGTCTCATTTAAAATGAGTCCCTCTGCATGGTCAAAACACTTGCCTTCCTCAAAGCATATTTATCTAAAAATGCAAACAATATGGTAGATACTATATCAAATTCCATTTCAATAGTTTTACTAAAAATAACGGCAGTTATGTTTTAAAGTGGATTTGGTAACTCACAGGCTCGGCTGAGCAAGAGGAACTGGGTTTGAGACTCAAGAGAAAGAAACCAGGCAAGAGAGCCCAGAAAAGCAAGGAAAATACCTTTGGCTGTCCCTGAGCCCAGGTGCTTGGCTTTTCACAAGGTCTCTGCGGCTGTCAGATGAGGCTGTGGATGAGGGGAGCACTGTCTGCAGCTGAGCAATCAGCCGCTTCCTACTTTCTCCCAATCTCCCTTCCCCACCTTGAAAAATGGAAAAGTGCAGTAACCAACTTTAATAATAAGCGATCTCTACAGTGCACAAAAGAGAAAATAACACTCAGATTCATGAACATGAGGCTGTCTTACTCTTCTCTTGTTGCTGAGACAAAACACCCGACACTCAAAATTAAAGGGGGAAAGGTTTATTTAGCTCAGTTTGTAGAGGTTTCAGTCTATAGTCGGCTGGCTCCAAGGCAAGGTGGCTTGGCAGAGGGCAACAGTTCATAGTAGACAGAAAGTAGCAAAGCAACAGCATCTTTTTGACCTTTTTACCCCATCTAGACTACTGGGATTAGGGTGGTGTCAAACCAATCAGTGTAGAGGTTTAGTAATCACACACCCTTAATCCCAGCATCACACACTCTAGATCCAGCCACCTCTGAAAAAGCCACCAATGACCCCATGAGGCTTTGGGGCGGGGACACTTAGACCCAAACCATAGCAGGCTAAGGAGCCAAACCACCCAGGTAATGCTTATTTTTGCAGACATGGAAATCAGAAAGGGAAACGCCAGGTTTAGAGAGCAGAATTGAACACCAGCATAAAGTATCTTCTTCAGAGTAAGTGCTTTTCATAGAGCAGGATAACTGAGTCAAATCTCAGTTCCCAAAACTGTTAAGGCCATTTTCTATTTCCTTCTAATTAAGGGATAATTGCCGTCCAGTGCTACAGGAAATGGGTGGAGGGAATTTAGAGGGGCATTGTGCAGTAGGGGAGACGCTAACCCCATGTGGCCATTTAAATTAATTAAACCTACATAAAATTTACAATTCATCTCCTCAGTTGCACCAGCCATGTTGCAAGTGTTCAGTAGCCACATGTGACACTCGGCTATGGTAACAGATTACAGGACATTGCCATCACTGCGGAAAATTCTATTGGACAGCACTGATCTATTGTAGGTGTTAAAAAGGAAATTGTTCCTTCCTTACTTGGTAAAGGAGCTGCAAGCCCAACCTACCAGACCTTCTTTGACTTGGGGCAGTGGGAGGGTGAATTTTGGGGTAATTACCAAAAATTCCATTATCATTTCAAAATATCATTTTAACTGCCCTAAAAATCTCTTAAAATTAAGACTCACCACAAGCCATTTTTAAAAGTCCAAACACATCAGGAAATTATATCTGGTGATAACCTGCTAATGTTCCAATCATTTATGAGCTAGACTGAAAGTAATTAGAACAATAATGCAGAAAAAAATTATAAATATATATGACCCCGTAGGCTCTGGAAATAAAAGTTTAGAGATAAGTAGGGGCACACTTTTGTTTTATCCTTAAGATAGGAAAAGACTTATTACACACCTTGGTCTTGTCTCTCTGTGGACTCTCACAAACTCACAGCCAGACGCAGTAACACCTGGGTTTGTAGCCTGTTTGAGGGATTTAGCACAAATCTCATTTGGGCCTCACAAGAACCTAATCACTGCTGTAGTACTGCTGCAGAGTGCTGTCGATTTTTCTCAGGAAGGGGAAGACTGCCAGGTATCACATTATCTCATCAGCGTTTGTCTTGCTTAACTGGCTACTGAAGCGATCCCAAGTGGTCAGACTGTGTGACACAAAATGGCTAAGATTACAGAGACCAAGGGGCCTTTCCTCTCCCTGACTCCCAGCTGCCCTGTAACTGTGGCTGCTGTACTGCAGAGGTGTGGACCACTGGGGAGACAAAGCATAGAGCAGTGCCTTCCCTCTCAACAAGCACAAAGCAGGCAATCTGAGCAAAAGGTCATCATACACATGGCCTTGGTAGCTCTGTAACAGGGCTAAAGACAGGCCATTATAATGCTCATGCCCAAAAATCACTCCACGGAGCAAATCATCTCCTTCCTAAAGCAGTTTATAGAAGGGACCTGATGAGAAATACATAAATTAAGAAACTGCTATCAAGATATTGTAAAGCTAATTTTAAAAATCCAAGATTGCATTTGGCGAATGGCAGATAATACACAGGCACTTTTCAAATACTTTAGTATGCTCACTCAATATCCTAACATCTGTCAATTTTCATTGTTAGCAAAACTTCACTCTTTTATTTACTATGTCCAGCTTGTTAGCTTCCAATTTGGGGGCTTGCAAAAACACTTATCTAAAAATGTATAAATAAAGGACACATCATTTAAATTTCTATGTTTATGCCTCAAAGATTAAACACATTTATAGTTCATTATGAGATGACGACTACAGTGAGTCTGGGAATCAGGGTCTCCAGGAGACAAGCAAGAAAAAGTTTAGGATTTAAAACACGAGAGCTGAAACGGTACAATTCTTTGATCTGCATATATCACATATACGAGCCCAACAATTCATTCTTGAAATAGAAAACTTGAAGTAGGTCAGCTTATTAACTGCTACCGTGGAGTTTATACGTCCACATTTGCCTACCCTTTGAACTGCAGCCCTGAAAAGAGTCGTGGTCCTGCATTATTAAAATCTGTCTTCAATTCAGAGAATGGAAGAAGCAGAAACTAATATTGCCCTTCACTTCCAACATTGTAACAGATCCAAGAGCTGTTTTGTTCTGTGCCGGTTCTAACAGGACCACACATTAGGAAGCCAGAACGAGACCCTCGGCTTCCATTCTACCTGGATTATGTTGTCACATTCATGGCCAGGACAAACCTGTTCGCTAAAAGCCGGGAAGAGTTCGAGATATAATAAAACGCTGTGGGGAAGAGGGAGGACGGAGAAAGAAGAGTAGGGCAAAAAAGCACATGTATTTTAAAATGTGGAAACCCTCTTTCTCCCTTTTATTCAAGGAGGGTAAAACCACTACACAAGGGCTGTTTCTATCACCCAAAGCCGATCACTGTTCCCACCTAAGAGAGGACCCGAGCCCTGGGCACCCATCGCCGTGGCCTCGCGAGCGCCCGATCCCTGTTCCTCCTTGTATGAACGCCGGTGCACCGACCGGGGAGCAAGTTGCGCCTCCTCCCAGACGCCCGTCAAGCCCCAGCGGGCGCGGAGTGGCCGGACACAAGGGCTGTTTCTATCACCCAAAGCCGATCACTGTTCCCACCTAAGAGAGGACCCGAGCCCTGGGCACCCATCGCCGTGGCCTCGCGAGCGCCCGATCCCTGTTCCTCCTTGTATGAACGCCGGTGCACCGACCGGGGAGCAAGTTGCGCCTCCTCCCAGACGCCCGTCAAGCCCCAGCGGGCGCGGAGTGGCCGGGGACCCC